CCAGGTTGTTGAACTGAACACAATTCTCTTTGGTTCACTTGCTAATCTGAAATGAAGGAAATAGTATCTTTTCACCTTGCAGAAAGTTAAAGTTCTCAAAGGATTGCTTAGCATTTCAGAAAAAATTTCCAAGTGTCTAGCCAGTGATTTCTCCATGATTAGCATCACAGCTTTCCTGGAAACTTTCAGAGAAATCAGATGCAGTTTGAGTACTACTTTTTTATGTCTTTCAGGTATAGCAAGTGTCCTTTTTTGTCAGTAATTCCAACTTTTTTTGCATACATTCATGTATGAATTAAAAAAAAACCAAAAAACTGAAGAAAAATTCTGTTCCTATGCCAGAGAGGGGAGGCCTGGAGGAAACTAAAATCCATGAACTTTTTTTCTTTTTTTTGTGGCGCCTTTGTTCAGTACGTCATGAGTTGTCATCAGGAATTCTTACCCTGGATGAGATTTGTTTCTTTAGGGAAAAAATTATTTCCCAGAGAGAAGGAAACATTTTCCATATAGGGCAAGACAGCTGTTTTGGTGGGTGGTGGTGACTTTCAAAGTTCTCTATTCCTGTTAATAGGTGCTAACTGTAGCAGAGAAGCATTCATAAACTTCCTCACAGGAAGAGAAGGGGACACATATTCCCATTTCAGTCACAACAGAAGTTCCTGAAGTGTTTTTGTTTTTTTTTTTCATCTTGCCTTTTACCTTTACTTTTTATTTGTACATCTCATGGATTGTAGTGGGCTAGCAAGCAAGGTCTATTTAGTCAAAACAGCTGGGATTCAACTAAGGGAAAATTCACCTTTGCTGTCAATTTATGACCCATACAGTAGGTAAATCCTCCCCTTTAGTAGTCTGTTAACAAGCAATACCTTGTTAACATAGTTTCAATAATAATAGCACGTTTCAAGTCATACATGAAAAGTCCATTATACTCTAGTATTTTCTCCCTGTTGGGTAACTCCTGAGCTAGATAATTGAGTTGGAAAGGACTCTGTTCCCAAACTATTAATCTAAATCCCAGGACTCACAACTTGCTCCAAAGACATCTCAGTTCTTTGCATGACTATTCCAATAACTGTGGTGCTTAAAGATGGATCTTAATCTTTGTTCTCTTCTTGATTCTGTGAACATCCTTGTGCTTTTAAAGTACTCCTATTGCTAGTATCAAAATCTTGAGGTTCTTCTCCACTCACCTCTTGGCCCTTGAGTACCTACCTAGCAACTGAGTACCTTCCAAACTCAAAGCTCCATGGAAACGAATGAATGAAAGAAAGCTATTGAGATTTTCTGTGTTTATCTAGCCCTGCACAGATTTATATTCATCTGCTTTGACTGTTTGCCTTCAATAGAAATGATTGATCTGAACAACAGAATTCTTGTAACAGTGTTCAACTGCACATACTTGCCTTATCATGGTATGTTTGAGCTTGGATCTTTGCTTCTAGGAATTCTGATTGGTGTCCAAGAAACTAAGAGGGATCTACACTAATCCAGCTATGAGAGCCATGCAACATCAAGGCAAGATGTAGCTTGCCTACTGACCTGTGTGTACAGAAAGAGGTAGTGTTCTCAAGTAACTCTTAAGAGTTTTCTCTTTCTGAATCTTCTCAAGGAAGTTGAAAATTTCTGCATTGTCTGCTCCATATGAAGGACGGCAGGGTATGTGTCCTAGCCTAGTGTCCAGCTAGTCCCTAAGTGACAACTCATTCATGGAACTTCCTTGCACATACTTAATAGGAAGAAATAGGGATGACCTGTCTGCTCCATAGTAAAAAAATGGTTTTGTTTACTTGCTTTTAGAGATTTGAGTAATAAATGAGCATCTAGGATGTGTTAGTAGAATAATTGTCTGAAAGGGAGTGTTTGGTATTGGCAGTACCAGGCAAGGCTGGGCTGTACATAGCTCTGCTGCTAAGCTATATAAAGCTGTGTCTTTGAATGGATGCCCAGGACTTTGAGGAAGGCCGCCTGGCATGTTGAAGAGGTGGATTCCTGTTTTGCAGCATTTCCAGCTCTTCAGTTCCAAGAAACCCCCAGACAAATAAAGGGACTTCAGCAACACTGTTCCTTAACTATCTCACTACATTTCAAGATCTTAGGTAGCTACATATTGCTGAGGTTTTGATGGCTTTTGGAGGTGTGTAGTCTGAGAATAGTGAGAGCTGAAAGAGCTTGCTGAGGACAGCTAGTCATGAGCTAGAGAGAAGGACTTTCTCCTAAGTCTTCAGAAAGGACAAGGATCTAGTATCATACAGCTATGGTTTGGAGACACCTAGTCATACTTTTTTCTGTCTGGGAAGACTAAGCTGGAGAGACTTGCTTGTAGACTGAAGCTCTAAATCTCACATTGTGAAGTGACTCCACACAGAATTTGTACCCTGAACGGGTAGATTTGTTTCACATTTGTTTCAGGTATCACCTGAATTCACTGCCCTGGGACAAAAGCATGAGACATTTCAAGGATGATACCCTAGCAGCAAAAGAGGCAGCCAGCAACTCAATACTCACTATGGCTCCAATATCCCTTCCTGGGAGCAGGACCTGGGTGACACCAAAGAAATCTGTATGCCTCTTGCTTAATTTCCTAGCTGGGAAGGCAGCACTGAGTTCCTCACCTCTGGTCCTTCTTGAAAGCATTGCCCAGCCCCATAGCAAACATATCATGAATCATTCATCTTTAATAGATTATGCAAATTGAGAACATCAGATCAATGAAGATCAATACCTGCAACCATTTAATTGCCAGCAAAAACATTTTAAGAATGAGCATTATCTGAAGTCCTTTCTTGGGTAATGGCACCATTAATCCAAACATTGGATCCTGGCCTAAGTGTACAGGAAAAATTCTCTGCCCCTCTTCCCCTGATGATTTTCAGGGTGTTGAGGGGCTTTTTCTTCCCCTTTTCATTTCCAGTTTCTGAGTTTCTCCATCATTACCACCACTGAACAGCTCCCAGTGCTAATAGTTCTGCTTTTGTTACTCTGCACTGATTGAAATGTCGCATACAGATTGAGATGTTAGTGCTAAGTTGCCACCTGGGAATGTCAAGCTGGGTCTGAAATGAACTTTTCTCACTCTTGGATCCAGATGGATCAGATAGGGATGTTCTCAAGCTGAGCTGGGAGTGTGGCAGGGAACAGAGTAGGGGTAGCACAGGGTGTGAGGGACATGAAGAAAAATTTTTTCCCAGCCTATAGTCTCTTCTGTGAGACCAAATCTGTCTCCTGCTGTGCCCTTGTGAGAGTCATGTCCAAGGCTTGTGTAGTGTCCCAGCCTTCAGGAAGCCTCCTCTCACATTAACAGGCTGGAATGCACCATCTTCACTTAGGCAAAAGGACTAAAAAGAACTATTTTCATGGCCTCTTTAAAACTTAAACTCTGATTATAGGCACATCACCTTTACATTTTGATGTGGGGATTTGCCTTGCTCTCCTACTGGCTTTGCCCCTCAAAGACAAGAAGATATTTCCTGTAAGAGATGTGGATCTGCTAAACCGAAGATGAGCGCCAGCTGAGTTTTGCAAACACTTTTGCCACAGCTAAGCCATTTTTTCTGGATGGCTAAGAAACTGCATGGCTACAAGGATTCTGAATCAAGCCTGATAGCTGTAAAAGCCATGAAAAAGGTCTGGGATGTCATGCTTTCTAGACACTTCCTGAGTAATATAGTTCATCTCCCATGTTCGCCACAAGATTTTGCAGACTTCACACTGGATATCCTCTGGGTTTGAGTTAACTGTTATTAATACTGCCTGGTCCCAAAGTTCTTGGTAGCCAAAAGCTGTATGCAACAATATGCCTTTGCTCAGTGTTTGCTGAACAAACAATGCCTGCTTCAGCCATGAGCTGTTTTGATATCAGGGGCCATTAGCCAGGGTTTCTGCAAGAAAACATTGAGATATAAATTCCAGTGCTCTTGATTCTGTGCCATCTTTTGGCAACTTTTTGGTCAAGGGACAAGAAGCTTCTTCCCTTGCCAACAGCACTTAGACTTCTTTGTCATGAGTTGTTTCTCAACTTCTGCCATGAGGTTTCTAGGGAGGTTACAGAGGTTGTTGAGAAAGGGGGATATACCAAACAGAAGCAAGTCACTTGAGCCTTGTAGCCCCTTTAGCTAAGAGGAGATGTGCAAGTCTGGTAGCTGTGTGAGTAACCACTGATGTCAACCAGCACCTTGAGAAGAAGGGCTGTGGCACCACAATACTTCCTTACAGCTCCAGACACACAGGACAGGCAATCTAACATCAGTATCAGGACAGTGTGGGAGTGACCCATGGCCCCAGGCCAACCTGTGCCACTCAGGTTCTGCACATGCCACCAGTAAAAGGGAAGTTTCAGTGAAGTATCTGCTACAGAGATTTCCTCCTGTTTATCTGCATCCCAATTCTTCTGCTTTCATGTGCTTGCTCACAGTTTCTATTCTCCCAGACACACCTGAGTTTAATGTGCTCACACATGACAAAAGGCTGTGAACAAATTTTTTTGCCAGCTTTCCTAAGAGATTTGTGGGCTTAAGGAGGAGGAAGTTTAGCAGTCGCAGTTCAGCAGATCTCCACATTTAATTTGCAAATGCCCCTTCCAAGTGCCAGGGCTGAATAAAACATAAACTATTATTTCTCCAAAAGAAAACCAAGTGGAGATCATGGGTAAGCCATGACTCTGTTGTTCTCAGATACAAAGGAGAAAAATCACAGTGAATATTTGGACATGTTTGTCCTCCACCAACATCCCAACCTTAAGCCCCTCTGGGCACACAAGTTCATGATTCACATCTGGGTTTGCCTGTCTTTGAGTCACACCTGGACACATCTAAGTGTACCCAAAAACTGCCAACACTCTGAATTTCAAACTTCTATTGAACCCTTATGTTCTCCACAGTCTTTCTGTCTCTTTCCTTGTTTGCCACAGAGGGGTATCTTGCATTAGCAGAAAAAGCAGAAGCTAATGGTGATGAGGGAAATAAATAAAAAGCTTGGTTCTGCTGTTTGGTCAGGCAGCTTACCGGTCACCACAGGGTACGTCTGGGGTCCTGACACATTTGTCCCCAGGTCTGGGTTAGCAGAGGTGGATAGACTTGATTTGACTTCATCGAGACCTGGGGTCAGAGCTGGGAGGGAGTACTCATTACCCTGGGGAAGAGAGGAGAAAGACAGCTCGCTATTGATGCGATGGGAGAAAGGGAAGGGTGCACAGATGGGGGGGAGGCAGAGGAGAGATGCAAACCCCTGCACAGATGGAAGAGGAGGAGGAGGAGGAAATGGAGAAGATAAAGTGACAAGAGGGATGAGGGGGGGCATCCTACGATGAACTATCCCACCCTCCTGCTTGATGCTGTGAAGGGAAAGAGAGGTGAGGGATCTGGCCTGTTATCTGTGGCATGGCTGAGCCTTCATTCCATGCCGTGGGGATAGGGATTGCTGTCTGTGCCAGCCCAGGGGAAAAGAAGGGGGAAATCCACATACCCTCCTCTTGGCTGAGTGGAGGTGGGAGGTGTTTGCCCTGGTGACAAGGACAGCTGGGGCATAGGACTACAATGACATGACTAGGACAGGCAGGCTGTAGGAAGCAGCCAGTGCTGGCCCACTGTCGCCAGGGTCTCTGCCTGGGTCGCCTGCCTCCCCTCCACTGTTACCTCTGTCCTAGCTTTTTAAAAACAAAGAAGCCTCATCCCCTGCCTCTGTCACTCTGTGCATTGGGGTATGAAATTGGGGAGGGGGGAGCCACATGGCTAACAGAAGGGTGGGAGGGGGAGAGCCATTGAATCTGAAAGGGTGTCCTGTCCGAAAGGCTCTGGTAATTGCCTTTTTATTGTGGCAGCCTCCAGACCAGACGCGGGAGCTGGAGAAACCAGGAAGGCTACAAAACAGCAGGAAAAGTTGCTCTGATTAATATTACGTTAAATTAAAACTGATTTTCTGCTCTTTCTCCTCCGTTTTTTTCCATGCGCTTCCCCAACCCCCTCCCCACATCTTCCCCTCCTCCAGCAGGTTCCACGCATGCTGCCCCCTCCCCGCCCCTGTCCCTGCTTGGCTAGGACTGCCTAGTCATTTCCAATTCCTTCTTGTATTGATCTTCCTGTAGAAATCAGTTTTGTAATTAGCTGCAAATTAGGCCTTCTACTGGGGGTGAGCCTGCCCCCTGATTTATCACCAGAGTAATTCGCTGTGATCGGAGAGAAATTAAAATGAACTCAATTAGGCTTTGGATTTGCTTTATGGGCCCTGCTCAGAGTTTCAGGGGGAAAAATGACTGTGCTGGTGCTTAATAGTCTAATGAAAGTAAATAAAGGTTATTCATTGTAATAAACCCAGGGACTCTGGGATGAAGGGAGTCCACAGCCAGCCTCTCCTTCTCTTCCTTTGTTGGTTTATGGCTTGGGGCGGTTTAAAAAGACTTTTGATTTTCATTTTATTAAGACAAACAGCTTTTGGGATAAAAGGCCGGGAGAGCGGGGGAGTAAAGAAAAGGTGGGTAGAGCTGCAGAAGTGAGGAAAACCATGTTGGAGATGGGAGTCAAGACTCAGCTTTGGTTCATGAAGGAAAATGATCCATTAAAACCAACCCTGTAGCTTGCTGGTCACCAGTGTGATCTCAGGGTGCAGGAGTTCCTGTGCAGTGCTGCCTGCTGGTGAACATGGATGAGGGTGTAGGCATGTTCATGGCAAGAACAGGCTGGCATACAGACAGGTGAGTGTGCAGAGGCAAAAGTGGTCATGGGGACGTAGGGAGAGCACAATGTGCATGTATATGGCAAGTTTAGGAGAGGAGATAAAGCTCGTGTGTACGTGAGCATCAGCACAGTGATACAGTTATACTTAGACAGGGCTGTAAAAGGTATGTGCAAAAACAGGTCAGTGTCAGAACAAGGGACAGAGGGGGGAAGAGGGATTTTGGTGAGGGAATCACCCTGCCATCATCCTCTCAGTGCCTGTGGGTTCCCATTACCAGGCCAGGCCCTCACCTGCTCAGATTTGATGTGCTCTGATGTTTGAAAGACGTCAGGGTAAGAAGGACGCTCAAAAACTCGATCTAAAGCTTCCAGCTGCTGCTGGGTGAAAGTGTCGCCACGAAGGTGCTTCCGCAAACTGTCCACGCTGCTCTGGGAATCTCCATTGGGAACTGAGCCCTCGGATACATCTGCAGGGCACAGACAGAGAAAACAGGGAGTTAGCACCACCCTGGCTTGGATTGGTAATGGATGCAGGGCAAGGACAGAGTGGGAAAGAGTGAGGCTTTGTGCTTCCACCCAGGTAGCTGTGCCACTCCTGAGGGAAGAGGAGGATGCAGCAGTCCAAGAGGAGCCCCCTCCTCTTTGATGGAGTGGCCAGGCTGCTCCGGTGGGTTCTTTGGGATTCTCCTGCCCAGGATGAGTGAGGCTGTGGAGAATGGTGCTTAGCTCAGAGATGAGTTTCGGTTCCGCTGATTTTCAGTGTTAAAAATTGCCAAATCTCCACTGCTGAGCATAAAATGGGAGCAAAGCACAGCGATTAGCATCGCTAGAAGACCACTGGAGAGGCAGTTCACAGAGAAACAAGAGTGTTGAGGATGGTCTGTACTGGAGAGGACTGAGGGAGCCTACAATGGGAAAAAGGCTCTCCTACAGTTTGGAGGGAAGCAAGTCTCTGTTGTAGCTCCCCAGTCCTATGAGCAGCTATCACTGTTATAATTTCTTTTTCATCTGATCATATTCTAGATGAGTCTTTCATCCCCCCTTAGGGTCTTTCATCCCTTAAACAGGGAAATCTGGTTTCTGACTCCATGTTTTGCCAGAGGTAAATCTCTCCCTGTGGGGCAACTGTTCCATCCAACATATGTTGGTTTCTGTCCCATTCACCTATGTGTAGCTTGTGATTTATCATGACCCATATCTCTGTTATAAAACTCCCTCCAAAATGAAATGAATCTTTGTCTCTGCCAATCTCCCTTCTTATCCAAAATGAATTATATTACAAAACCTTGTCCTGCTCAGTGGGAATCAGCCTTCCTGGTATTACGTTGTTCTTACTTCCTAGTAAGAACAATATAGGTGCCTTCTGGTAGAAGCTTCCTTACAAGTGCATCTCTGTCCCTACAGCAGCCCTTCGACAGTCCAGTCTCACAGCACTGCCTCCTGCCATGCTCAAGGATGTCTCTATTTCTGTTGTGCCATCCCACATCTCTTACAGCCCACTCATCCTCTCTACTGTGAGTCCGTTATAAATGCCCTGCCCCATACGAAGTGAATTTTTTCCTGTGATAAAACATCTGATCACCTATGTGGCTTTGGGTTTAGTTTGATTTTTTTCCCCTGTTATCCCCTAACTCAAATGAGGTGCATTTTTCTCTGTTATAACCCCTTCATCCTCTCTACTGTGAGTCCGTTATAAATGCCCTGCCCCATACGAAGTGAATTTTTTCCTGTGATAAAACATCTGATCACCTATCTGGCTTTGGGTTTGGTTTGATTTTTTTCCCCTGTTATCCCCTAACTCAAATGAGGTGCATTTTTCTCTGTTATAACCCCTTTTTATCTCGAGTGAGTCTCCTATTAGCATCTGTCATATCCAAGGTGAGTCTGTCTGTTATAACCTCCTGTCCCAGCTGAAGTGAATCTTCCTCTGTCATAATCCCTCATCTCATCTGAGGCAAGTCTTCTCATTATAATATCTTCCAACTGTGCTGAGTATCTTTCTGCTGTCACATCTCAGCCTAACTTTAGTGTGCCTGGTTATAATCCCCTGCTTCATCCATGCTGATATACCTCCATACTCTCCATGCTGAATTCTTACCTAGTGAGCTCCATCAGACACAAGTCTGACTGCCTTATCACCCTGACTAACCTAAGATCAGGTTCTCCGTCTTGTGCTGTAATTATATTCCTGGTTTTTCACTAATATGGCTCATACTTAGGCCTTTCTTGATGTCCTCCAGTCTGTGAATGTCAGAAACTTGCTGCCTGTCAAGAAATTGGTCAAGGGTTCTGTATAGACCTTTTCCTTCCTCCATGCAATCGTGAGGTGCTCATGGACACATGATGCTCCCAGGAGCCTGGAGTGACATTCACTGTGCAGCATTCAGAACAATGCCACTCTGCTGCTTCCTCTCTTAGCTCATGGATAGCACCAAGATGGTATTTTCCTGGCACAGTTAATGCCTAGCTGGTGGCCCGGAGTTATGACTGAGCCTGCTGCCTTCTGGCTATGAGATATATCCGTTTATAGGTGATTATACGATATGATATAATCAATAGTACATTATATACAGTAGCGTAGTACAGTACCACTCACAAGACCATAGAAAATATTACATATTGATTTGTCCCTGCCAGCAGCCTTCCCTTGAGCAGCCTCTTCCCTCTTTCTTCTCCACCCCAAGCCAGACAAGGCTGTTTACTAGCACTGATCCCTGGAGTTTTCTCCTCTCCCCAGGCTTATTTGCCCAAGAGAAAGTTATCAATTTCCTAAAATCTGGAGTTCATGACAGATTTGACTAAGAAAACAAAGCAAGGATCAGGTTTGGTGGATGCACACTGTGTGGGTCAGTACAGTTTTCATGTTTTAAATGGACTGGGCTGTTTCTGCAGGGGGTGACTTGCAGGAGAACTAGAACTCTGGTCTTCCCTGCAGAAAGCTGGCACAGAACTCCTGGCTCCAGACTCAGAAAAAAAATGTTTCTGTATAAGCCTCAGCCTGTGTGCAGCCTGTGAAGCTGTTTGCCTTTGAGGATTTTTCCACATGTGTCAGTCAGTGTGTATGATTGTATGCACCATGATGCTCATACACATGGGTATTTTTGCAGTAGATAGTTATTCTGTTATTCTTTAGATTCTGCATCACAGTACATGCCTGACCAGGAATTTATCTGTGGCTGCTGGCTTTGGCTATACCTGATTTTCAAGGATGGCAGCCCTATACTGTGCATCGTGTTTGGTGTAAGTGGATGGATATACAGTAAAACTTTCACTGATTGTCATTAATCTAAATTTTACCTTTAGTGAGTTGCCCTGAGCGGTTACACAGATTTGTGCACAGGCATTTGCACTTCTGTCTCCTTTCAGAGCCCTGTGCACATGTGTCTTCTGCGTGTGCACAGGCCATGCCTTTGTGTGAAGAAGCTGAAATCACAGCTTTCCCGAGTCGCTGTAAGAGTCTCTTTTCCTTCATTTATTCAGGGGCCCTTCAGATCTTGACAAATCTGTCACTCTAAATTTGCGAGAGATTATGGTGCTCTCTGCCTAGCACGGAGAGAGGTGATATATGATATCTGCTGCCCCTATTGATTGCCTGATCTGGTGGCAGAGGGCTGGCGAAATGAACTTGAAATGAACATCATGCCTCAACTCATTGTGCGTATAATACACTACTTAATCCCACATTTTTGAGCCGCTATGGAATTCAATTGATCAATCATGTCCCTCTGATAGTACTGTTTTAGGGGTTATTGCTGCACTGCTCACTGACCTTTCTATTTCTTTATTTATATATGTCAGAGTGTGTGGGTGTGCATGTGCACACATAAGCGTGTATGTGTGTTTGGGAAACCCAAGACCAGCTGATGAGAAAGGACCTGTACAGTCTATGGGAAATGAAAGATAAGAATGAAGGAAATAGAAGGGTAAAGAATGGTGTTAAATAAGAAATAAGAATGATCAAACCAAGCAAATGGATATAGAGGGGTGCAAAAGTTGTAAGGAGCAAGACAATGCTTTAGTTTAGGTGGAAATTCCTGGAGGGGAGAGGGAGGAAGGAGGGGGATGGGCCACTCTGCCCTAGCCTATGCTTTAAAATCTGCAAAAGAAAAGAAACTTTTGACAGAGGCCCGTAGGGTACCTCGAGGTAGATCTTGTCTAAAAATGTTGCAGTAGTATTTGGCTTAATAATGGTAGGATGCATGAATCCCAAACTTAACAGAGAAATTATGTGAATTGTGCACATATATTTTACTTATGAAGCAGAGACGGTTTCACAGAGGTGATCCTGAAAGACAGATTTGTATGTCTTGTGTTGCTAATGTTGAGACATTCACAGTCACAGATAATTTTATTTTCTTCAAAACCCAAATCATTGTAAGTCCCCTGTGTTTGTCTTCTGGTGTCAAAACCTACAGAGGATATATTTCATTTTTTCCCTGAAACTGCAAGGGCTAGACACTTATATCTGGTTTTAGATCAAAGCTGCAATTCTCATCTAAGCATATGACTCTGTAAGCTGGACTACCAGGAGAAGCTTCAAATAGCATGATACACAAAATATGAGAGCTGACAGCCATGTGAGTATGAGCAAAGGTAGCAGAAAAGACCAGAGAGGACTTTGGGAAAGAGATGGAGTCCATTAAAGGGATGTGGGTACTAGTGAAGAAAGGGCTTACAGGAAAAACTTGAATTGGGAAAGACTAGCAAATCCCGCGAGGAATGGCACTGTGATGGGCAACAGTCACTTCAGCTGATGAAGAACAGTGCTTAGAGTAAAAGCTTAAGGGCCAGGGATTTGCCAGGAAAGCAGATATTGGAAGGGGTCCTGTTCAAAGAGGTAAAGGAAGGCTTCAGCTGCAGGATGAGTCTGAGGAAGCTACCTGGGTAACTGGTAACTGTACCCAACAGGAAGCAGCACCATCACCTTTCCCAGTTCCCTTTTTGTGGTAAATCTCTCTTTTAAATCATAAGAATCTTAACAAACAGCTTGAGAGGCACAGCACGTCCTCTGTCACTGTGTCACTCACAAAGGCGCACGTTGCTGTCAGTGTGATCAGGCCTTGCACATGTGACAGGAAATATCTCTCCAACGAGGGACAGCCAAGGGAGTGCACACAGTGAATGTTCAGAGTGAACTCTCAACACAAGACACAGATAAGCTCCACAGATGTCACAGAAGCATTCTGACAAATAACAAGGAAATGCTGTGCCAAAGAACAACAGAACAACCTTAACTACATCTGACACAGGGAATATGCCCATTAAATAATTCCAAAACAAAGAGGCATTCTCAGGTCTGGAAGCTACAAAGACACCATAATGTGCAAGTAGCATAATTCATTACTTCCCTGGCTAGAGGTGACAGATAGAACTCTTGCTCAGAGTGTAACAGGACCGTCTCAACAAATAACTCAGAAGTATTGCTGACATAGGGAGATCATTGTGGCATAGAAACATCTAGGAAGGT